GGCGCCCTGGCTCTAAGACGAGTGGTTCTCTGATGAGTCTGCATTCCAAAAGCTAACCAGTTAGAGCCTTAAAGGGGGCCTCCCATGTCCCCTGATGGTTAATTCTTATTCACTACTCGAGGCCAATGCAGGAAATTTGTGCAAGGGGCTTGGCTCCCGGCTGCCTCTGCCTCCGTCCCCACCTGCCATGGCGGCCGCCTTAGCCCTTGCAGCCCCAGCTTCGTCTGGAAGGTCGTCCGGAAGGATAACCGGAAGGATGTTCAGTCTAATTAGCATATTACTCTTTTATTATTATAGATATCCGAGACCCCAAGTGTTCATTCATACACAGAATGTTGGGGAGAAGAGTGGGATCTGTGAGTCCATGTCAGGAGGGGAGCGATTTGAAAAAGGAGAGAGGAGGGGAGTGAACGCAATGTCAAAGGGGAGAGGACAGCAGCGCCCCCAGCCCCACCCCCACCTCGGGACCACCCAGGGAGCATCTGAGGGCAGCGGGAAGCGGCTCTGAGCTCACCTGGGAGGCTCCCCGGCAGTGATCCCTCCAGCCAGTCCCTGCCAGACTTGTGGGCTAATGGTGTCAAACCGAGAGGAGAAACAGCAGCTGAGAGAACACTCCGTGTTAGAACAAACAGCTGGTGACAAACGTCTATGTAATTGGAATGCCAGAAAAAATAAACTGCATCCATTTTTATGACAAGAAGGAAATTTGATGGTGATTTCCCACCCACCCCCCTTTTTCCCAGCATCGATGGACTCTGTGGGCTTTGAAAGCAAATGGTATTTAACTCAATAACTTGGCCGGCGGACTGGGAAACACAACCTCCTCTCACCCAGTGCACTTCCATTTGGGGGGGGCGGGGGAGACACACCTCTCTCACTGGCTGGTGACCCTGGGCCAGCTCCTGGGCCAGCGCCTGGCCTGCATTCTCTGTGCGGTGGGCACGCCAGCACCTAGGCTGCAGGGCTGGCAGGAGGGGTCAGTGAGGTGAGTGTCAGAAGCAGTAAGCACCACGCCTGGCACGGAACCCAGGCTCTGAGAGCATCGGGCGTGCTCAGTGTTCTGGGGCACGTGGCACTGGGGTCCCCACAGTGTCTGTGAGGGACTCTGCTATCCTGTGATGGGCAGAGGGGTAAGTGAGTAACACACTTCATCATGAAGACAGCAAAAGGGGCTGGGGAGACCTCGGTTCGGAAGTCTACCTGGAAAGGGCCTTAGAAATCACTTCCAGCAACAACTCACCTGACAGAAGGGGAGACTGAGGAGGCCCTGATGAGGGTGACTATGTACACGCAGGTGGGGATGGACCAGGACAGGGGGTGCTCTTGGGGCACAAGAGGCCCTGCACACGGAGGGGGCGGGTGCTCTGGAGACTCCGCTCACACACTCAGGGGCTCAGATCGACCCTCTGCAGGCCTGGGCTCAGCCACCCAGACAGTAAGCAGCCCTTCGGAACACTCGGATCCCACGGACACCCAGCCCCACACCAACGTGCCGCCTCAGCCAGTTCCCAGGCCTGAAGCTACAGACGTCGGCACCCGAGACATTCTTCCCAAGAGGAGCCAGGCCACTCTCAGACTCACCACCAGCACGAAAGGCCTCCCCCGCCCAGAGGTCGGCAGGAAGAGGAAGGCAGGGGCGGCGGGAGCTGCCTGGCATCGGGCCTCCTCTGGCTCCGGGTCGCCCACAGTGTGAGGAGCACCCTCAGGCCCCGCAGAGCCAGCCTTCCCGATGGTGCCGGCTCCAGTCACATGGCCCAGGGGCCCTAATCACTGTCCAGGCCTCTGCCCAAGCCCTTCGTCCAAGGCATGGGGATTCCTCTTCTCTCTCCCCATCTCCAACCCTGGGCCTGAGAGCAACTTGAGTGCAGGAACTGACGGGCCTAAACTATGCCATCTGTGCTAGTAGCTGTCCTTGTTGTTGTTAATACTCAGTGGCTTAACATCACTGGAAGGGGGTGCCCTGGATTGTTGGGAGGGATTGAGGGAGACAGAGAAAGAGAAACATCAGTGTGAGAAAGAAGCATCAATAGGTTGCCTCCCCCAGGCTCCTGGACCCGGGATCAAACCCAAAACCTGGGCATGTGCTCTGACCAGGAATGGAACCCACCACCTTCAGGTGCATGGGAGAATGCTCCCGCCAACTCAGTCACACAGGCCAGGGCCCCTCCTCCTCTCTGTCTCCTCCTCCTCCTCCTTGTCCTCTTTCTTCTCCTCCTTTTCCCTCCTCCCCTGCTACTCTTCCTCCTCTTCCCCCCCCTCCTCCTCATCCTCCTTTTACTCCTCCTCCCCCTCCTCCTTCTCCTCCTCCTCAGCTTCCAGGAGTTGCTGCTTTAAAAACAGGAGCTGCAGAAACATGGCCCAGAGCCAGGTGCTTAAAGTGCATTATCTCTGGCTGCAGTCAGAGTCAGAACTGAGCTCTCCAGGGCCCTTCAACTCCTCCCGCCTGTCTCTCTACTGGGCGGCCTCTGACATGGGCCTCTGCACTACTGGGGTTTCCCAACCGGGCTCTGAACCCCCAAAAGCACATCCTGCGAGGACCAAAGATGAAAGACTCACCGGCCAAGGGATGCGGTCCCCCACCCCGTAGGAAAGGTAAAAGGATGCCCCTGGGCCTTGGGGGCGAGCCGGGTTCACTGTAAATCCCATTCTTAACACGACTGGAGGGACGGCAACGGTCAGAACTGCAAGGGACCGCAGAGGACCTGAGCGCCACCTCTCCCAGAGGCCGCCTGGAAAGGATCGCCCAGCCTTTTGGGGCACGTTAGCTGTGAGGGAGCGTCCTCAAGTCTCCACCAACCGCATCAGTGACCATCACCATCCAGCTGCCATTTATCAAGGACTTCGTGTGAGCCCGTCACTTACACTGGCACGTCTTCCAGTTTCTTCCTATCTTTGCTTTCTATCTCCCTCATGAGGATGTAAGCCAGGCTCCTTCCCATGTCCAAACCCTCCGCGGCTGCAGGGGAGCCCGTAATAGGGGTTGATCTGAGTCCCAAATCCATACCCTCTGTCTACAGGGGCTATGGAGGGTAAAGCCCGCTCTGCCCATCACAGTGCCCATGGGCTCAGCATAGAATTCCCCAGTGTGCAACTTGTTGTAGGTGCTCAATAAACATTGAATGAATGAATGAATGAATGAGTAAATCTCTAGAGACACCATACCCCTTGGTTTGGTTAACAAAACAGAGGCCTACTCCAGCCACTCAGGTCCACTGGGCAGGTCACTGGAGACCGCCCCTGAGGACACCTCGGAACTCACACACCTGCATGGTGACGGAGAGGCAGGAAGGCACAGCAGCAGGAGTGGGGTAGTCCTGTGAGCCCCCCACCTGCTGGGACAGAATGCTGGGCCTGAGAAGCCCTAGGAGGTCCCAAAGCTCTGGGACCCTGTCCCGTCCTTCCATCTAAGTCAGTGGTTCTCAACCTTCTGGCCCTTTAAATACAGTTCCTCATGTTGTGACCCAACCATAAAATTATTTTCGTTGCTACTTCATACCTGTAATGTTGCTACTGTTATGAATCGTCATGTAAATATCTGATATGCAGGATGGTCTTAGGCGGCCCCTGTGAAAGGGTCGTTTGACCGCCAAAGGGGTCGCGACCCACAGGTTGAGAACCGCTGATCTAAGTCCTCTTGGCAGAGATGCCTGCCCAGGCCCAGCACTTGGGAGACAGCAGCCCCAGGACAGCATGCCTGGTGGGAGGGTGAGGCAGAATGCAAGCTGCTCAGTGCCCGTCAGAGGTGAGGCACGACCTCCTCTTGGAGAGTCAGACCAGAAAGGACCTTAGAAATCACTGACGATTTATCATCACTGTCCCTGTTTATGGACAAGAAAACTGGGGCTCAAAGAGGTGAAGAAACGGGTCTAAGACAAAACAGCTGGCAGGTGGCAAGCCAGGACTTTGAAGTCAGAGCTGTTGGATGCTCTTAACCACAATCTTCCACCTCAGTCTCCCAATCTGGACAATGGGGAGGTTGAACCTGATGATCTTTAGTGTGGCTTAGATTTGAGGTGATTTCAGGGGAAACCAAAAGCTCTTCTCCCCTGGGCATCTTCACCCCACTCTCCCTTCTTTCCTCACCTTCCAGCGTTGGCCTCCTCCCAGCCCAGGGCACTGCTCCAATCTAGGAACAGTGAAGGGAGAGGCTGTGAGGGGAGGCATTGGGGGTGGGGCACAAGAGCAGAGATGGAGAAAAGATGCCTGCCCACTTTGCCCATCCAGCCCTCCAGACTGGCGAGTGCCAGGGGAAGTTCACAGACAGTTTACAAACCTCCTTTGTCACAGGGCGGTGCATGGAGCCATCAATCACGCCCTTAATTTACCCGTGTCACTTCCCAGTGGAAAGCTGCCCTGTGAGCGGCCACTGGCACTTCCTCTCTCACCCACTGGATGAAGATTTCATCTAATTGGTCCATGTTAATCACTCCCAGGAATGCAGTGTGCAATTATCACAGCAGCAGGCCGGCTGCGAGGACATGCCGTGACCCTCCGCGTGTAGGCAGGAGAGTCCATGGAGGGCCCCTACCTATGGGGCCCAGGGCCTTCTGGGAAACCTGGAGAACCCCCAGGAAGGACCTGCTGGGAAGGGGGAGGGCAGGCCAGGAAGGAAGGAACCATGGAGGGTGCCAGTTACAGCTCCCCACCCGCCCCATGTCTGAAGGCCCAGGGGAGCCAACCATCCTCCTCACGGATATAGACCCTCCCTCTAGCTTCATGGGAACAGAGTTCCGGAAGGTTTCCATAAACCTTGCTTAGCACTGCCTGGCCCTGGCCCCCAACTGGAAATGCTGGACGCACAGGCCATCTGGATACCACAGTCATGCCCAACACCTTGCCTCCAGCACAAATGTCTCCAAACACCAGGCTTTGTGCAGACTGTTCCCTCTGCCTCATCTGCCTGATGCCTCTTGGTTGTCCTGCTGGTCTCAGCTCAAATACCACTTACACTAAGATGCCCTTTCAAACTCCCTGGGGCAGGAGAGGTACCTGTCCCTCCTCCTCCCGGCCTTCCACAGCCCCTAGCACAGGCCTCTGGGACACCCTCACCACCCTGCCCTGCCCTTCTCTACTGGCCGGAGGGTCTAACCATCCTGTGAGGTGCGTGGGGAGTGGGACCAGATGTTTATCATCTTTATGGTCCTGCCCAGCACACTCAGACTGGGGCTCAGCAAATCCCTCTAGAATGAGTGAGTGAGTGCATGAATGACTATCATCTACCTTAACGCACGCACAGCCTCAGACCCACAGGCCAAGTCCGTTTCCCAAAACATGCCCAAGGGTTCTCGGGGCTCCCCTCTGCTCAGGGGATCCCATCCTGATACAACTTCCATCAGGCACCCCCCGCCCCCCGTGGAGTCAGCACCAGAGCACAGAGGCTGAAAAGAGCTTCAGAGACAAATCGTCCTCATTTCAGTGATAAGCAGACACAGGCCCGGAGGCCTGGGGTGGCTGCGTAAGGTGCCCAGCAGCCCATTACCAGGAGCAGGGTCCCATGCTAATCCCAGGGCTGTGAGAGGCTCTGAAGCTGGGACAACCCCAGCAAAGCTCCAAGAGGGGGATCTCACTGGCCCTTGGGACTCCTGGGCGAGTGAGTGTGGGCACCCCAAGCTCCTGTCCCCCCGCCCCTGGCCTCTCCCAGAGGCTGCTGCCCGAGCGGCGGCACATACCTTGCGCTTCTTGGCACGTCCCTCAGCCTGCAGGGTGCGGGTGCAGCGCTGTACACACTCGGAGAAGCTGAGGTTGCTGCGGTCGGCACTGTAGTCGAGGTCAGCCAGCCGGGCCAGGGACAGGATGTAGTTGCAGGCGATCCTGAGGATGGCCAGTTTGGATAGCTTCTGCCCGTATGAGTAACACGGCACCTGGTGGGTGAGAAGGCGTCAGGAGGAGCTGCCGGGGCCTCTGCAGAGCACGACCCCGCGGGGCACCCTGGCCAGGAGGGCATGGGGCTGCTCACAGTCACATCTGCGCCACCTGAGAGGCACTGCTGGACAGCGGGGGTGGCCTGTCGAAGCCGTCGACCTGGGTTTGAGTCTCTGTTCTAAGCAGTCGCACACACATCGCAGCTCACCCACTCACAAACTCGGGAAGTGCACACATTTCCGTTTTGTAGGGCAAGACATTGGGGCTCAGCTCCTGCCCGAGAGCCGGTCTGAATGAAGCAGTGTGTTCCCACCATGAGAGAGCTCTGTCCCAACCTCCCTGAGAGGGATCTCTCCGAGAGAACAGACATTTCTTATCAGCTCTGATATTCCTTCCATTCATTCATTCAGTGAGGCTGGTTTTGCTGAGCACTTGAGGTTCTGACGAATAATGCGATTCCTGCCTTCAAAACAGAGTCCGGGACTCTGGGAACATACGAGAAGGAAACGAACAGGGCTCAGCGGAGAGGGCACACATGGTGGGCTTTCTTTTTCTTTTCTGCTTTTCTCTGTGCCCTCTGAACCTGAGACGCTGCTGGGCATACAGCACGTGCATAATAAATACTTACAGCCCCAACTAGACTGGACACGTTTGTCAGTGACTCAGCACCAACTAGACACTCACTAAGGGCACAGGGACGTGTACCAGGTGAAGAGATGGAGCCTCTAACTCTCTGACACTGTCACCAGCGTGTGGGCTGCATGAGCAGACACCTCTGCGGCCTGCAGCAAGGCCTGTGTTGTAACGTGGGAAGGTCACCACGAGTCACCGGACAGGGCGCATCCTCAGAGCCACCGCTGCCAGGAGGCGTCCTTCGCCTGGACGGCCCAGTGTGCTCGCCCGGCCACCAAGGCTCCGGGTTTCCTCCCCTCTCTGGGCTCCAGGATCTACACGCAGCAGATCTATCTGCCCCTGGTATCTGGTCCCGATACCCTCATCCCAGAGAGAGGGACCCCCCATGGCACGTGCATTCAACAAGTATTTAGTGAGCACAGACACCCATGCTAGCTACTGCTCTAGGTCAGTGGATCTCTGCCGGGGACAACTGTGTCCCTTGGGGGGACAGTGAGCAATGCCTGCAGACATTCTTGATTGTCACTGCTGGGGAGCATGGGGGGTTGCTACTGGCTGTCATGGGTAGAAGCTAATCATCCTACCTTGCACGGGATCCTACGATGCCCCCACAGCAAGGAAATACCCAGCCCAAATGTCAGCAGTGTTGAAGTCAGAGACCCTGTTCTAGGCCCCGGGATAAAGCATGAACAAGACGGGCACCTCAGAGGGGGACCCTCAATGTAACATCCACTTTGATCTTACTTTAAACCTCACCTTGTCCAGGAGCTTTCTTTCTTTCTTTTTTTTCTAAATATATTTTATTGATTTTTTACAGATAGGAAGGGAGAGGGATAGAGAGTTAGAAACATCGATGAGAGAGAAACATCGATCCAGGAGCTTTCTCTGACTGCCCCCCAACCCCACCCCACCCCCACCCCAAACCATGAGGCTGAAGGTAAGGTGGGGAGGGGGTGCGCCTGTCCTTGATAGTGCTCTAATAGCACCCCATCTGTCCTCCACTCCTCCTCATTTAATGATCAGTCTCCCTGTAAGTGGTGGGGGAAGCCCCTGTCTGCAGAGCCCAGGGCAGGTCCTGCCTGTAACAGGCACCTGGAAGGATTTGTTGAATGAGAAAATGAATGAGCTCCCTCCACATTGACTGGTGACTCCAGAATGTACAAAACTGGGCTACAAAGCCTTTCCTCAGGCTGACGATGCGGAGTTAGGCCTAGAGCTTAAGCACACAGGCCTTTGGGTCACCTGGTTCAACTCCTGGCTCTAGCCCTTCCTTGCTCTGAAGCCCTGGGCGAGTGGCAGAATCTCTCTGAGCTTTGGCGTCCTCGTCACATTGCTGGCAGGACTGACCTCACAGCCTGGTCGCGAGTCAATGAGATGGCATCTGCATCGCCCAGAGGAAGGCCTGATACAACTCAGCAAAACAGCACAGTCTCCGAAGAGGGGCTCCGGAGAAGGCGAGAGGCAGGACACCTGCAGCCAGGGCACAGCTCCTGCTTGTCCCCTCCTCCCTGGGGGTCCTGAGACGCACCCACACCAGAAGCAAAGTTTGCTGTCACCTTTTAAAATGCTCCAGCAAGCCCTGGCCAGTTTGGCTCAATGGATAGAGCATCAGCCTGGGGACTGAAAGGTCCCAGGTTCGAATCTGATCAAGGGCACATGCCCGGGTTGTGGGCTCGATCCCCAGTAGGGGGCGTGCAGGAGGCAGCCAATCAATGATTCTCTCTCATCATTGATGTTTCTCTCTCTCTC